GCATTTTCTGACCTTCCCTTAAACTTTCTAGGCAAAAATACGAATCGAATGACATCTTGGTCGTAATTTTTGGACAGGGCTGAAAAATGTTACAAAAAAAAGTACATGTGAACTAAACTACAGAAGAAAGGCATGAGAATCATGACTGGGGCATAATTTAGAGGACATTGTGTTGAGATAAACTACTTGATTGCAATGATGTTCTTGTATGCCAGTAAATGCGTATGATTGGAATGAATAAGAAGAAGAATGATAGCTTAGTTTGAAGGTGGTTGACAATGTTTCGTAGTGAATTTCATTAGTTCTGACTTCCATAAATAACAATTATATTAAGAAAAAAAACTGAAATTACAATGAAATAAAATACAAGCAACAACCAAAAAAAGAAAAAATTGACCAATCAGCAAGAAATTAAAATTAAAAGATTCCAAGCCAAGTTACTTCACGACGTTTCGATTGTAAGTATCTACAATCGTCTTCGGGTGATAACTGACTTATTCCTCCGAGATCTGACTATGTATAGGTCATTCAAGTGCTTTCACCTCCCCTCTTCCCTCTCTCTGCTTCATCGGTTTTAGCGGGAGCTGACCGTTTGGCGGGAGTTGGTCGTGTTCCGCTTGATTATAGGTTTCCATATGTTGCGTATCTTCACTCTAGTTTGACTAGCGTTGTTGGACAACATATGCGGCTCCTTTGAATTCTCTCCTGAATCAGTGTTCCTCCTTGTGGATGATTTCAGCTCGAGACCACTTGATGTTATGTTGACGAGTCCAAACATGCTCTGCTATTCCTGATTTGCTGGGTTCTCTTCGCTGTGTGTGTTTCTTGTGCTTGGCAATGCGAAGTTTCAATGGCCTCTTAGTTTCACCGATGTATGATTCTCCGCACTCGCAGGGTATCCGGTAAATACAATTCTTGGAATCGCAGTCCGCGTTTGGTGGTCTAATTTTTGTGAGGCTGCTACAGATAGTGTTCCCAGATCTGAAGCAGGTTCTGATTCATTAGTACAGTACAGTACAAGAAAATCTCTAGAAAATCAATGAATTTGTTCAAAAATACCTATTTTATTTTGATATTTTGTGATTTGATATTATTGAATATTGAATTCTTGTTACAATACTGTATAATTTTGAGTAATTTTCGGTGTTAACAGAAAATAAAAATAACTTTGCACCAAAAACTTTGAAAATTATTTTACTCTTGTGTAATTCGTAATATTATAGGCTTCAAAAAACCGTCGTTTGTTTTTCATAGACCCAATTTAAAAAAAACTTCTCTTAGATGGCCATGACTTCAAATCTAGATGTATTTTATAACAATCGAAATTACATTCAACGGTCTCCATCCTATTCAACTAACTTTTTACTTTCTGAACAGTTCACTACGTTGGTGTACATAACCTTTCACCCCACATAAATATACCAATTACGAAATATTTATCAAAATTATTCTTGAACCATGTTATCTTTCAAACCTTTGGCTTCAATTCGATGAAAATAACATGATTTTGAAAAACGCGATCACAGATTATCGAAAATTTGTCTGGAGTCGGGAAGAAAATCAAATAAATTAATTTTTTGATACACTTGACATAATTTATCAGACATCAATCATTAATAATTCAGTTTGGAATGTTGAAGTTTTTCGTTATATACGTTATCTTTTTTAAAAGATGCACAAGCACTAGAGAAAACTCACACAACGGATTCTGTGCCAAAATAGCGATTTACTTCATATATCAATTTCTATAGGCCGAATTCATTCGTTAAACTACTACGTAAAGGTAATTTCATAAAAACTTCTTCCTCCTAATGTTACACAACTGTTACACAAAATGAGAAATTTACCACAACCTTGCAAATAGCTAGGCGAAGAAAGAAATTAGTCAAGTGGGGTCAGATGGACTGAATTCCAACGTAAAAGAATTCATCAACCCCCAGTCTATTGAAGCTTTACAATGAGAATAGAAGTTTCAATAACTTATTCCGTGATAGCTGATAAAATGTTTATGAAACATATTTTATAAAACATAATTTTCAGTAATGGAATTCTAGAAATGTCTCAACACCATTTGTATGTACACACAATGGATGCAGGTTCATGAAGCATTTATGCTCATGAATATATTTTGTTGAATAACATCCACAGATCCAATAACGGATAACAATTGTTGGACAATTATTAAAAAATAGGCTTCCAGAAACCACTGAGGAGTAGTCATGAATGAAAGCAACAATTCTTCTACTGAGAAGATTCAATTTAAATGATGTAACTGGACATATAATTTTAAACAATGACTTGATCAAAAAGTTATCATACTTTCGAGGAGCAATGATATGTCCACCATTGGGTGAATTGGATGGAATTGGCCGATATTTGATGAAAATCCATATCAAAGGTGACTTCAAAGGTTACTTCTAAAGTTTTGTTTCTTTAAATATCAAATGTTCTTGAAGCACCATATCTCAATAAATAGTTATTCTACTGTATCCTGGTGTAAACTGATCAATAGAGAATGTTATATTCTAAACAATAATGCTGTCATTGTTTTCCAAATTTCAATTTTTTGCCTCTTTTCAGCCCATTTCTATGAGCGATTTTCGGTGTATTTTTCTCTACGGATTCAAATTCAACTGGAGCGCTGCCAAAACACACCAAAAAATCAACCAGGAATTTGGCAATGATAGTTTTAATGAACGCATTTTTGGTCGTTGGTTTGCCTCAAAGATGAGCCCCGAAGTGGCTGACCTACAGCAATCCAGGACAAATATTTGAGGTCACTGGTGGAGACTGACCCATCACAAACTGTGCGTGAGATGGCGGAAGGACTAGGCATGGGTGTCAGCTCCTATGTGGTTTTTGTTGGTTTGAAATGTGTTGGAGGAACAGTCGACGAGCTCCATCATTTGAACGATCAACAGAAGTTGCCGTTTTACTCCTCTACGACAACAGAACACGTTCAGGGCAGTAGTTGGACACCGATGAGCCACGTGGGCACTTTCCAAAGACGAAAATCCACCAGAAAAAGACAATGGTTCTCTATCTGTATCTGTAGGGTTCACACATCCTGCATAGAGGTGTGTCTACTAGCCCCATATTATGGAGGTGTTTCCTTAGTTGACAGTGACCATTCGGAAATCCTACTGTTAAGCGTAGATTATTCCTGGTCATCGCCAGATATTTCTTCGGCGCCAGGTTCCCAGGGTCGTCCTGGATAATCCTGGCAAGATTGCATCCTTTGATTCCATCCCATCCCTTCAGGGATTGAGCATGGGTGTAACAATTGGCCAGTTTCGCAATTGTCGAAGTCATCAAGGCGTAAGTGCTACTGGGTCCTAAGATTCTTAGTCCAGCCGCTTCCTCGGCTAAAGAGTCGGCAATGCGATTACCTTTACTCCAGTCGTACCCTTTTACCCACCTGAGGATAATGTTATCATCTACCAAGGCTTTGGCTAAATCTTGGTGGCACTCTAGTACTAGCCCTGAGGTAACACGTTGTCTGTTCAAGGCTAATAGGGCTTGTCTGCTCTCAGTGCAGATTGTTATGTTTTTGCCAGAAATTCCTTTCCTAGTTATTTCTATTGTGGTGATTGAGATACCAGCCAGTTCTGTTGGGACCACACTGGTATTTGTTCTCATTCCCAACTCAATCCTTAGGCTTAGTGATCAGGAGTACATTCCACATCCTGAGCCTTCGTTGGTTTTTGAGCCGTCTGTGTATATACGTATTGCATTTGTAGCATCTGACTCCGTGTTCTGCTTAATTTGTATTTTGTAGGGTTTAACGAACACAAACCTGGGTTCAATTGCATCACTGGTTGCCTGCAGCAGAGGTTTCACAGTAAGCACTTCTCGCCATAGGCTCAGCCTCAATAGACCCATTCCTACTTCGAGGTTTACACCAGCCGTGTGCAATCGTAATATGGCCATTAGCGCAACCTTCTTAACGTACAGGTCCAGAAAGGTCAGACCCGTAATTAATTCCATTGCCGAGGTTGGTGTTGTTCTCATGGCTCCTGTGATGTTTGAACAATATGATATTTGGATGGCCGTTGCTTGTAGAAATTTCGGTCCCCATACAATGGCTCCGTACGTTAACATAGGTCTTATTATTGCAGTGTAGATCCAGGTGACCACACGGGGTGAAAGACCCCATTCGCGTTCCACTATGCTCCGACCTTGCTCATAAGCCACATATGCTCTTTTTGCTCTACTCTGTGAGAGTTCCATGTTAGCTTCCTGTCGAGGATAGTACCAAGGTATTTCACCCCTTCAGAGAAGTTCAGTTTGCTTTTGGAAATTTTGGGAGGTTTTCAGCCCGATAAACTTACACCATGTTTCTATCAATTTGAGTCCATCCTGCGCTCTATCGCATTGTGTTCACAACTTTGAAGGTCTGCAAGATAACTATGTCATCTGCATATACAATTGTGTAGAATCCATTATTGTTGAGGTGATTAATCAGGGTATCCATGGTTACTTTGTGGTAATCAGTGACTGGTATGATTTACTATAGCTCCATGCAACTGGGCCAAATTCGTATTGTAAGAAAATCTACGAAATGTAATGAAAAAAGTGTCAACAGAAGCCGGCACTGGTCAACAAAAAAAGTCAGATACTGCTCCACGACAACACTAGTCTGCACGTTTCACAAACCACTGTCCGAATATTGAACGAATTGAGCGTCGAAGTTCTTTCTTACCCACCATACACCCCAGACCTCTCTCCAACCGACTACCATCTTTTCAAACACTCCGATAACTTTCTCATTGAATCCAGGGCAATCAAATTTCATGCTGACGGAATTAATCAACTTGTGTTACGTTGGAAAAAGTGCTCTGATTGATATGTCATTTATTTCGATTGAATCAAAGTATCAACTGATATGTTACTGTTCCAAGTGGATTCATAAAAACACACACAAGTTTCGGAACAAACTAATGATAAGATTCATTTTGATTCTTACTCTAATGGGTTTACAAAGCAATATTTTCCTCAAACAGAATCCTGCTTGAGGGTGCTACTGAGAAATTTAATCTTTGCATTTTGAATTATCATTATTGAAGTGATAAAGGATATAATATAATTACCTTTCAGAGTTGAACATTCACAATAATGGAAAACAACTTTTTTCACTGAACTTATACCAATCGATAGGCTATGGTCGATAGTCGAAATTTATGTTGTGTTATACAATAATTTTAAGTCACACAGTGTCATCCACAGATTCATTTGATGCTGATCTTTGAATATTCGTATTTGTTCAGTCTTTGGTAATCAAACAAATGGAGTCAATATATTTTCAGTTCTTATCTTAGTTCTTATGCATGTGCGTACTCTAATTTATTTGACATGTTTTCATTATCATGATTAATTATCGAATACATGGCTATTTAAATATATACATATAAGTATATATACAGGTCGTTTTTTTAGCTGACACCACTATTGCTACCTCGGAAACGGTAGGTCGTATAAGGACGGTTAAAAGCTTTCTTGGTATCGATTGAAATCTAAGTTTGGGCCCGGTGGAAATATAGTGCTTGCAGTAAAACTTGGTTATCGATTTTGAAAATAAAACAAGGGAAAAATTGATCAGCAAAAACATGAAACGTGTTGGTATAAGTTTTAGAAAAAAATTGGGACAAGTGAATGCTTAAATGTCAATGTTCCTTTTGAAAAAACCGAATCCTGAAAAATCTTTCTTCTATATGAAAAATTCACATAGAAGAAAGATTTGGAATGTATCTGATAAGCGTGGCCGTGAACTGAAATTACACTTTTCCCATTAGTGATTTTCATATCGATAGTGCATGAAAACAATCGAAACTTCAAAAAAGTTGAATAAAGAGATCAAACTACTCTTTTTCCATTTTTGTATTATGCCATTATGTATTATTAATTTGTAAACTGCCAAAAATGTTTGATTGTGCTCCTTCTAAGATCCAGCCGCTACGACTGATTTTCACGACATTCATATTTTTGACTTTCCAGTTCAAAATAAGACAGAATCTTGTATGACAATCCCTGATGAAGAACATTGGACATTTCGTCTTCTGCATCTTCAGCGGGATGATTAGGGTGGTAGTACAGCAATGCGACAAAAAGTTTTTTGATATGATTTGGTTTGTTACCTCTCACAGTTAAAAAAATTGATGGATTTAGATCGACAGGAAATCTGGTCAAATGTGATGAAGGGGCAAACTGAGTAGTTCACCCTGTAACTGTAAATTGACTGCGTAATATTAACCTCTGGAAAGTTCAATCAGCAACTTGAGGTATTTGTGAATTATATATATACAGGCCGTTTATTTTTTAGCTGATATCACTATTGCTATTTCGGAAACGGTAGATCATACAAGGACAGTTAAATGGAACAAAAGTTACCTTTTTAGTGATGCAACACAATGGTATTTTCAGATCTATAAAATCATCAACGGTTTGTGAGATATTTGCAAAAAAACTGACAGATTTTATTCTTTTGCTCTACCGCCTCCATTTTCAATAATATCAAAAAAAACCTTTTTGCTTCCTTTCATGTGCTTTATAATCTAGATGAACTCATTTTTCAATGCAACGTTTCGTTCATTGAATTCCATCATCAATATATGTTTTTCAAATACGGACCTGTATATTTTTTTATACATGTTCCTAGTCGTTATAATTACAAATTTGTCGATATATCACAACATCTATATTTCCCGACGTTTCTTCCTGAAACCACATCATCACTATCATTTTTTAGTAAGACGAAACTGCTCATATAATTAACATCACTCATACTTTCAAGTAAGTCGACTGATCATTCAATTAATTATAAATAATTTCGTGAAAATGTGAACTAAAACTTCTCATGTTTTCATACCACCTCTATTCGTAAATAACGTTATACTGGAGTTCCATCCTGCAAAGACATTTTGAAACGAATACATTACGAGTATGTATTCCAAGTTTCAATTTGAGTCGAAATTCTAAGATTGAAGTCGAAATTTCAAAGTTGAAGTTGTAATTTCGAGATTGAAGTCGTCATTTTGAAATCAAAGTCGTAATTCCAATATTGAAGTCGGAATTTCGAGATTAAAGTCGTAATTTAGAAACTGAAGTTGAAATTTCAAGATTGAAGTCGAAATTTCGAGATAAAAGTCGTAATATCGAAATCAAAATATCGAGATTGAAGTCGGAATTTCCAAGTTGAAGTCGTAATTTAGATATTAAAGTCGTAATCAAGAGATTGAAGTCGTAATTTCCAGTTCAAAGTCTAAATTTCAAGACTGAAGTCGATATTTTGAGATTCAAGTCATAATTTGAGAATGAATTGAAATCGAAATTTCAAAGTTGAAGTTGTAATTTCGAGATTGAAGTCGTAATTTCGAAATTGAAGTCGTAATTCCAAGATTGAAGTCGGAATTTCGAGATTAAAGTCGTAATTTAGAAACTGAAGTCGAAAATCNACGAGATTAAAGTCGAAGTTTCAACTTTAAAGTCGAAATTTCGAGATATAAGTCGAAATTTTGAGATTAAAGTCGAAATTCCGAGATAAAAGTCGTAATTTTGAAAGCGAAATCAAAATATCGAGATTGAAGTCGAAATTTCGAAGTTAAAGTCGTAATTTCGATGTTAAAGTCGTAATCAAGAGATTGAAGTCGTAATTTCCAGTTCAAAGTCTATATTTCAAGATTAAAGTCGACATATTGAGATTCAAGACATAATTTGAAAATAAATTGAAGTCGAAATTTCAAGGTTGAAATTTCGAGATTGAAGTCGTAATTTCAAAATCAAAGTCGTGATTCCAAGATTGAAGTCGGAATTTCGAGATTAAACTCGTAATTTAGAAACTGAAGTCGAAATTCCAAGATTGAAGTCGAAATTTCGAGATAAAAGTTGTAATTTCGAAATTGAAATCAAAATATCGAGACTGAAGTCGAAATTTCGAAGTTAAAGTCGTAATTTCGATATTGAAGTCGTAATCAAGAGATTGAAGTCGTAATTTTCAGTTCAAAGTCTAAATTTCAAGACTAAAGTCGAGAATTTGAGATTTAAGTCATAATTTGAAAATAAATTGAAGTTGAAGTTTCAAGGTTAAAGTTGTAATTTCGAAATTGAAGTCGTAATTTCAAAATTGAAGTCGTAATTTCAAGATTGAAGTCGGAATTTCGTGATTAAAGTCGTAATTTCGAAATTGAAGTCGTAATTTCTATTTTCAAGCACGTAATTTTCAAGAAACGAATAATCAAAATATGTGGCGCTTCTGCGCTTCCATACATTCAGCGATTTAATTTACAAGAAACATATCTTATGTGAAATATCGATGTGAGACAAACATGTAGAGGATGAATGAATGAACAAATTGAAATTGAATTGAACACGTTGTGTATCTATCGACTTGCCTGCGATAATTGATTTCAATCATTCGATAATTTCAACTCTTCCTTTGGTGTCAAAATATCGAAGTTATTCAGTGATTTACCGGCTCGATATTTCACTACTTGATATTGTACAGATAGGTGAGAGTCAAGTCATATAAAGTTGTGTACATAATTCAATTTTACAATCTTTATTACAACAATTTATTCTCCTATTTCAGCCCAGTTTTACATTTATGACATCCGCCATACATCCAATTGAATAAAAGGTTCCATCCTACAAAGCAACTCCAACAAAGGATGGCTGGGTAACCCCCATATTGAGTTTTTTTAATCTGCGGAATAGGCGTAATCTGCATTGTTCAGGAAAAACATTTCAACTCTTGCTTCAGTGCGAATTGAAAGCCATTACAACTCTTTTGATGAAGAGATATAGCACGATTCCACGATGTTTTTCCAGTGCAGGTACTTTAATTTTGTCGGAACTTTTAATTTTGATAACAGCTATTAAGGGAAATATGATATTGGTGTTCGTACATATCGTCTCTAATTGCACTCTCAGCTTATTTTGATGCCTAGAAGTCCAATAATTTTCTAGAAAAATGTTTTCAAAATATTGGTATGTCTGGCAGCAAAAGCATTCCACCACAATTTTTCCGATCCAGTGAAAATGATTTGAAGGCAATCTATAAAACCTGCAAACGCCTCTAATAGTCTGGTTCACATGTTCTCGATTTTGCTCTTTTTGGTGACATTTTTCAGCCCTTTCCAAAAATTACGACCAAGGTGTCATTCGATTCGTATTTTTGCCTAGAAAGTTTAGGGAAAGGTCCGGAAACGCGCCGATAAAAATTACAAAAGTTATAAACAATTAAGTGAAAAAAAATGGGGCTTTAGTTTTTTCTTAATATCTCGGAAAATTTTCAAAATTTTNAATATATTTTTCTCACAAATTTCATACTATTGTCAAATATGGAAAATAGTCATGAAATAATTCAAATTATTTTAAGCGAATATATGAAAAATGTTCCATCTTTTAATCTTCCAAGTTCATAGACATCAAATTTGATACGATCACAGGATATAGAAATATAAAACAATCTCCAAATACGCAAACTTTGTACAGATTACATAGTGAGCATTTTACCGGATTAAAGTTGCAATGTCAGCATATAAATCTTCATAAATATTGAGGGAAGTCAAGATCATCAACAGATAGTATTGAGAAATCAATTTAGGATCTATTGATCTTCAGTAAAGGTTCCAGCAATGCAGCACATCTCCTTTCCTTCCATCCTGCTGGATGGCAATATAATGTAAGTTTTTGGTGATTTATTGTATTTTTGATTCACAAAGTTTTTAAATGAAGTTTTTCATTATTTCGATGAATGATGAATGTGTGAAACAGCGAATAAAATCCTCTCGTTAATAAGCCAAGCGAGTGCTGAGTTGCAACACTATTGATTCAAGTATATAATTCCTCTATGAGAAGTACGTATCATAGTATCTGTAACATTTTCGAATATTCAAGTAACCTGGATTAACATGTGAGATAATACGAAGAGGCTCGATCGTGATTCATGGAAAATAACATCGAAAGCTCCAGGTCAGACTGCTATTGGATCAAACTTTTTTCCATTAAATTCTTCGAAAGGGTGCGAATAGAGTTCACAGGTCGGGGTGGATCAAAGAGAATACTTTTAATGTAAAACGAATACAGGGTCGTTTGGATTTCAGTTGGTTAGAAACAGCACCAAAGACAAACACACGTGGTGAAGTGGTGGTAATGAATGAATAAATTTTACAGAATTTTGACAAAGCAAATACGGCTCTTCGGAAGCTGTAAGCTTTCTTTCTCAAAATGACATCAATCATTGAATTCGAAAGAAATCATAACGGAAGCTTGTGGAAGTTTGATAAATAAAACTTTTCAATAAGAAATCACGAATATCAATCAATCAATCATGCTTTATTG